AAGTTCTTTTTATTTATTTGCAGAAAAATTGAGAAGATTGTACAGGTGAAATAGCCAGGTTCCCCAATTTTATGTATTTATTCTTTTAGAGACAGAGTCTCTCTGTTGCCCTAGGTAGAGGGTTGTGGCATCATAGCTTACAGCAACCTCAAACTCCTTGGTTCAAGCAATCCTCTTGCCTCAGCCACCCTAGTAGCCAGGACTACAAGCACCCTCCACAATGCCCAGCTAGTTTTTTTCTATTTTTAGTAGAGACTGGGGTCTCACTCTTGCTCAGGCTGGTCTTGAACTCCCAAGCTCAAGCAGTCCACTCACTTAGGCCTTTCAGAGTGCTGGGATTACAGGTGGGAGCCACCGTGCCCGGCCTACTTTCCCCTATAACTAACAATTTATATTAGTATGATACATTTGTTGCAATTAACAAACTGATATTGATATATTATTAAGTAAATAATTATTACATAATTAACTAAATAATAATAGTAATCATTATTATTTCACTAAGTGCGAAAAGGTCCACGTTTTTTTTTTTGAAGACAGAGCCTCAAGCTGTTGCCCTGGGCAGAGTGCCGTGGCATCACGGCTCACAGCAACTTCCAACTCCTGGGCTCAAGCGAGTCTCCTGCCTCCACCTCCCAAGTAGCTGGAACTACTGGCACCCACCACAACGCCTGGCTATTTTTTGGTTGTAGCCATTATTGTTGTTTGGCGGGCCTGGGCTGGATTCGAACCCGCCACCTTAGGTGTATGTGGCTGGCGCCTTAGCCGCTTGAGCCACGGGCGCCAAGCCAAGGTCCACATTTTATTCATATTTCTCTAGTTTTTACCTGGTGTCCATTTTCTGTTCCAGGGTCCTGTCTAGGATTCCAAATTACAGTTAACTTTCATACCTTTTTCTTTGCAGTTTTTTTTGGCTGGGGACAGGCTTGAACCCACCACCTCTGGTATATGGGCCAATGCCCTACTCCTTGAGCCACAGGTGCCTAGTTTTTGAATCTTTTTAGGCTCCTCCTGGTTGTGACAGTTTGTCACATTTTCCTTGGTGTAGGTGACTTGATGGCTGTGAGCAGTGCTGGCCAGGGATTGGTCTGGTGTTTTTCTCTCCCGATAAGACTGGGGTTTGGGTTACTTACTTTGCTTCTCAAGTTGTTTCTGCCCTGGCCATGCAGTACCTTTTCAATGGGCTCTCACGTCCCTTGACATATCCTTGTCGATGTGGAGTTTTGTTTTGTTTCGTTTGAGCACTTATTTTTTGGCACTACCTGGCAATCGTATAGTTTAGTTTGCAAACTCATCCTAGAAAAAGTGCTGTGTACCTCCTTGCTGAATATCACTAGAGTCCTCTTCTAAGTACTCCCCTTGGGAAGCTACGCACCCACGCCAGTGCCTAGTCCACCCCTCAGAGCAGTTTTGGAACTCTTTTTCTTCCATTATGTGTCTAGTGATATCAGAAAGATTAGCCCAACAGGGTGTGTTTTACAAAGAACAATGTCTCCCATTCAACATGTTGTTCTAGAACCTATTCCTAATCGAGAATGGCACCTAAGTCCCCTCCCTTTAAAAGCCTTCGTGACGGCCTCAACCAAGAGTATTGTGATACGATGGAATTTTGGAGGCTGACCATATAAGCACTGTAACCTTTGGCCTTGCAGCTGGGGACACACTCTTGGAATTCAAGAGTCACCAGGCTGCGAGGAAGTCCAGGCATCCTTACAGGGGACTTCATTAGAGGAACTGAGGGTTCTGGCCCACTCTCAGGCCAGGAGAGTGCAGCAACCTGCCAGGCACAGGAGGGCCCATCTGGAGAGCAGATCATCCAGCCCCAGCTGAGCTGTCTGAGCCAAAGCTGGGTAGAGCAGGGATAAGCCCTACCCTCAAGGCAGATTCATAAGTAAAGTGATTGTTGCTGTTTTAAGCCACTACATTGAGGACCATTTGTTGTCTGATACTGACACCTTAGGCCCCGGAGATCTTGGGATTGCCAGTTAAGTTTCTTATCTCTGTATTGGTGCTTTAATGATCTTCTTCGAGAATTAACATGAAATCGAGTGACAGAATGCGGGTGCAGAGCCTGGAGCACACACGCAGGGCAGATATGGGGATCAGCTCACCAATCAGTGGCGTCCTTGGGGGTTCCTCGGCCACCCCAGCCACAGTAACAGCCGTAGAAGCCATAGTTCCTCAGGGCATTCTTTCCTGTCACATCCTTAATCATCGCCTGTAGTTCCAGCAAGCCTCCTGGCACAGTGGGTACACCTGAAAAGACAGCCCATGTCCTCGGGTGACACCTGGGCAGCCCTGCCCCTGGGTGTCTCCTGCCCTTTCAGCCCCTACCCCCTGGGGCTCAGAAGGACCCGGCTGTCCCTTTTTCTTCTCCCAATTAGTGGGAAGGGCAGCGCAAGCAGTGGTTAAGAGTTTGATTTGAAAAAGTGAGCAGACCCAGGTTCAAACCCTGATTCTGCCATTAATTAAAAGGATGATGATGAACAGACTTAATTTTATTCCCTCAGAGCCTCAGTTTCCTCAACTGGAAAATGGGGACCTAAATTTAGCAGTCACCTCGTGGAGTTGTTATGAGGATGAAAATAAGACAAAGTCTATAAATTTTGAGCACAGTAGCAATAGACAGTAAGTGCCCAAGTCATATTAGGGGTCACACATGTGGTGTCTGTACAAAGCAGACAGACAGGAGCTTCCTGTCACCCCCACATTCCCTTCCTCCTGACACCTTTTAGAATATAAGGCCGACAATCTTGAAGCAGGAGGGGACCCTTAGAAATCATTGAGTCACCAGGCGCGGTGGCTCACGCCTATAATCCCAGCACTGTGGGAGGCTGAGGAGGAGAAACGCTGGAGCTCAGGAGTTTGAGACTCGCCTGAGCGAAAGTGAGACCCCTACTCATGAAAAAAAATGAAAAAACCCAGCCGGGCGCCGTGGCAAGCGCCTGTAATCCCAGTGGCTTCTGGAGACTGAGGCAGCAGGATGCCCATAAGCCAGGAGTCTGAGGTTGCAGTGAACTACCAAGCCGCTGCACTCTGCTCAGGGGGACAGGGTGGGACTCTGTCTTGACAAAAAAAAAAAAAGAAAGAAAGAAAGAAAGAGAAAGAAAGAAGAGGAAAAATAAGCAACGAAATAAAATAAAATAACAAAAAAATAAATAAATAAAAAAGAAATCATTGAGTCAGGACGGCACCTGTGGCTCAAAAGGATAGGACGCTGGCCCCATATGCTGGAGGTGGCGGGTTCAAACCCAGCCCTGGCCAAAAAAAAAAAAAAAAAGAAAGAAAGAAAGAGAAA